TGTCATATACTCATTATATTTCATAAAGAATTTTTATTGGTGATAAGTAATTTATAGATGGAAAGGACAGCACTAAGAAAGTGTGTCTAAATTTACATATTGTGCAACTCCCTGATCATATCTAACAAGGAGTCAACGTCATTTACATAGGCCAAGTTGCTATATTTCATAAAGATTTAAGTTATATAAAAGATTTAATTATATAGTTAGGTTATTTAAAACCCAAATACAAATATAGGTAACAGTTGGAGAATTTGTTAACTCTAGAATTTCCAAAAGAAATGATGAAAAACACACTTATGTATAGTTGAGCCTACATGCCATGTTTAATGGCAAAAACTACCTGTACTTTCTCCATCAGACAAAAGTTTCGCAAAAGAAAACAGAATCTCAGATTTACTTTCTACACCTTAAATTTCCATGGGTTAATGTCTTAATGATGCAACACAAGGTCATACTTCGCATAAAGATCTATTCTTTCACAATCTGAACAAGTTATTCAACTCGAATCAACTGCCCCTGTAATGCTGCTAAATCATTTATTGCACCAACATATAGAGGATTTAACAGTTTAAAGAAAATTACCCTCTCGGTGTAGTTTAACAGGTTATAGTATGTTTGTTTACCATTTTATTCAAGCTACCAATAAATGCTTATTTAAGGGGTAAAAATTGTCAGCCGTGTGACAAGGAGGTCATCAATTCAAGCCGCGGAAATAGCCTCTTGCAGATAATGCAAGGTAAGAGCCAATGAGGTCCAACCCTTCTCCGGATCCCGCACATAGAGGGAGCTAAGTGCACCAGGTTGACCTCTTTTTACCAATAAAATGCTTATTATAAAGAGTTACATGTACATGATAGTGTAATTGTACACCGCAGTGGTTAGAAAAAAAATCATGTACGAATAGCTTGAAAGATAAAAACATACACAGTTTTAGACTATAAGTTAAGAAAATGAAAATTACCGACAACAACAAGGCAATTTCAAGCGCTTTCGGATCTTTAAACGTAACAAACGCAGTCTTCGATTGTCCTTGTTCTCTGCACTCCACACCAAAATCAGTCAAAAAAGGAACACTTGAACTCAAATATACTGATTAAAGTGTTTAAACCTCACGAAACATTGCAGAAAAAGTGAAGCTACTCACCGCCGAATCTCAATGCGCTCAATCTCCCCAGAAAACGAGAAGAACTCGCGAACTTCTCTCTCGGTCGCCAGATCTGATACATTACCTACCCGTACTGTTCTTACCTCCTAAAAGTACATAAATTAACCAGGAAAAAGTTAAAACTAATTCAATTTACAGTGAGAGAAGAAGAAATTTCAAATCCCGCCATGAAAATGGAGAACTCACCTGCATTCTCTCTCTCTCTCAGCTTCTCGTTGTGTTTGCTTAATGAGCAAGTGGGAAGAGAAGATATAATAAATGTGATGAGCTTAACAGGAATGTGACAGCGGAGAATGTAACTGTTATAGTTGTGAAGTTCAAAGATGATTAATTAAACTGCCCTGATTTGTTCCTAAAATATCGGTTTTGACATTCACTTTGCTAATTATTGAAGATTCCGTCTAATGTTGTTTTGATGCAATGCGCTTTGCGGTCAAAGTTGACCGCATTAGAATACGTATTCCGAAAGTCTTGTTTACGTAGGATTTAGGAACAAATTACAATTGAGTTCCCATCTTTTGCTTTCAATCCACATTTACCTGTTTGGTTCACCAATTGTACACTTTCTCCCTCCCTCTCTTAATCCACTCAAGGTATTTGCTTTTTCAGAGAATAAAAGTCAAGATTATAGATGGTAACATCTATATAATGAATTAGTTGAAATTCATACAAATACAAATGGCCCTTAAGGTTGTGATCACTTTTTATATTAGGACGGTTAAACATTAGACACGCTTGGTACATTCAAAATGTGCCTATTAAGCATTGTGTATCCAAGATGTGACACAAGAAGTGACGGGTAAATACTTAAATATTATTTTTTTCCTTTTTTCTTTTTTATCTCATCTGCCGCCACCTCTCCTTTTTCTTTTGGATAGATCAGACTAGCCTGAAAATAATGGAGTAATAGCTTTCACCTCTTCTCTCAAATTCATTAGCCAAAATCATCCATACAAAGAACTTCCAGCTTCTAACCTTAGATATGACCAAAAATACGATACAATCTAGGCCTCAAGACTAACATGAAGAATAGATTTTAAAAAATGGCAACTTTACTTTAAGGTCGTGAATATATATCCGTTAGATATAACAAAAGCAAATATCATAATAAAAAAGAGCTCAAATCGCAATTGTTACAGCAATTCAAGAATCTCTATAGGACCCACCATATTTTCTTCACTTTCAATAAATTAGCAATATCCTTTCATTTTCTATGTAAGATTATAACAACTATTAAAAAAAAAAAAAAGGAAAAATTTGCCATTTTCTCTTTTCACCAATATTCATGTTTATTACAGATGCTCTAACAGTAATGATATGATGGGTGTTGTGTTGGTTGAAGAGCCAATGAGGTGGAGGTGGCTCCATCAATGTAGTTACGGAGTTGGGGAGGGAGGTAAAAAAACGACAGATATCGATCGGAGATGATGAGTCTGGTATTAGAGATTATTAATAATTTAAGTTGCTTTGTTTTAACTGATAGTATATGATATGGCTTTTTTCATTGGTTATACTGCCACATTAATTAGTCGGGTTTTGTACCTCACACGTATTCATTCATTGCCAAAACATGCTTATTAGTGGAGTATTTGTTTTACACTTTAATGAGATGATAAAGCTGGCATTAATTAAATCTTCTCTCAATTTTCCAAAGTAGGAGTGCTAATTCTTTATTCTTTTCTTGTTTTTAAATTTTGTCAAATGTCTAATGTCCTCAAAAAGAACTTTGAGTGCGCCGACATGACAGGACCTGAGTTGGACTATGGGGACTCTTTTTGTCCCCCTTCCCTTATCCCCGGCCCTCTCTACTTTTTTGCCCGTGCCACTAATTTCTCCTTTAGACTCCGCCAGCGTTTAGTCTTCCCCTTATTGTTAATGTTAGGGGTGGTTTGGTCGGGTGTATAAGAATAGTACATAATACAGTGTATTAGTAATATATGGATTAGTAATATATGGGTTATTAATGCAAGCATTAGTTATGCAGATATTATTTCTTATAAACTGTTTGGTGTGGTGTATTAAAAATTATAATGCATTGCATAATTTTTAAGAAAAATAGTTATTTACAAAAATGTCCTCCATATTCTCTAGTTTTAAGGGACTTTAAGGATAATTTTGTCTTTAACCATACTAATGCATTGCATTAATAGCCTTGGTATTACTAATGTCATGGTTTTCTATGTATTACTTATACATAGGCTAATATCAAGTATGATGTATAACTAATGCAAGTATTAGTTATTGAAAAAATATACCAAACAAGGTATTACTAATGCACAAAGCTAATGTTTGCATTGTTTTTTCTAATACCTCCTCCCAAACGACCCCTTAATGTTAATGCAGTTCCATATATTGATTGTCTTCTCTACTGGTTTTAAGGTAATTCATAATATCTCCATCCTTTCACTTTATTTGGCACAAACTTTAATAAAATTAATTTTTTAAGTATACTATAACATTTGTATATTTATATAAAATCTTTCAAACTTATGGTTTTAAACTAATCATAATATTTGTATAACTTTAAAAGTTTTTTAAGAAATATGTTAATCTTTTTAGAATGGACTACTAATAAATAATGTTAAATAAAGGAGAAAGTGACACAGAGGGAGCAGTAGATAGCAACTTGTTTCATGTCTCAACTACGGGTGTCAATGGTTCGGTTCAACCGATTATTTTATAAAATTTGTATCGTATCAATTTTTTGGTTATTTTATTATGTACAACCAAAATTAGACTTTCCGAAACCGTCTCAATCATGTCGGTTTCTCTTCGGTATCGGTACGTTTAGGTTAATTTTTGGTATTTTTTTTTAAATGTCAGGTAAAAATTACTAGTAGAAATAGAATGCAATAACATACATACTTTTATAGAATTTCGCAAAACTCTCTAGACATCTTTGTTGTTTAAAGGGTGATGAATTAAGAAAACATGAAAGATGGTCATAGTATTAGATCCATCAACTATTCTACATCAGCATAAAAGAAACTAAGCAAAGACAAAGAAAATATAAATCACACAAATGAAAAGATATTAACCAAGTTGGGATTCAAGAATAAAGTATATGGAAGATTAAATATTCAAAAAGATAAATTTAAATCATACGAAAAGAAACATACTCAATACATTGTAGTTTGCTGCTCATAATCGCTAGAATACTTTGTGTCTTCCTAGCGAATATGCTGAAAATAATTTAGTTTCAATAGAAGTAGCATAATAGTTTTGGAAATTAGGATTATGAGTTTAATTACTCGTTGGCTTTTAACCATTTGTATAATTCCAATGCCCAAATAAAATTAATGCTTTATTATTTTTAAACTTAATATATAAATATATTTTCTACATGTAAATTTATTCGGTACGGTTCGGTATTTTTCGATTTATTTTCATAAAATAAAAAACCTACCCTAATTATCGGTACGGTTATAAATTTATATAAAAACCTACGGTTTTATTAAAAGAAACCTAAAAATCGATTCGGTACGGTACGGTTCGGTCGATTTAGTCGGTTTTTAAATATCCATTGACACCCCTAATTTCAACTATACTCTCTCGGTCTCTCCATCCCAAATAACATAATTACTCTTTGTAAATGATTATTTTTGGCGTGATTTTCTGAAATAAATTTTGTGTTTTAATTTTTTTTAACCAAGTGGTGTTTTCTTGGAAGTAGTCTAGAAAAATGTAAAATTTATTTTAAAAGACGAATTAAAATTATGTTCACATATAAGATAAGAAATAAATCAATTATGCTCTTGCATATAAAAATAATTGAGTTATCTTGTTGGAACAAAAGGCCTTACGTAATACTAATTAAGAAAAAAACCAAACGGAAAAGTTATAAACTTAATTAATTCGTTGTGGACCTCTGTATTGTCCTTTATTGTATACTCTTACAATATGCTTGTTCAGGTTATAATACAAGCAATTAAAATTAGTCTTCAACAATTGTAGACCTATAAATATAGTAAGCAAATCCGGAGAGGGCAGAAACTACAAGCATGGTAGCTGCAATACTAATGGCCACTTTTTTGAATTTCCTGAATCTTGAATTCTTTGATGTTTGCTTCGCTACTTGCATTTGCATGGATGTTGTTGCTTTATATTCTTCCTTGAGAGTTGAAGCAGATGTAACTTTCTTTGGCAATGTAATTTTGAGAACACCTTTCTCAAAATTTGCTTTTATCTCATTTGTGTTATGGTCTTTCCATACTGGAATTTCTTTAAAAAACCTTATCCTAGTTTGGTTCACTTGGCGATCTCCTGAGATTTTTAAAACTCCAAAATTGCTAACTTGTACCTTCAAACCTTCTTTATCCTTGAATTCTTGAATGCAAAGAACACAAAGTTTATCAAAAAAGGGAATGCAAGACATGGCATTAATTAAAAGATTTATACAGCATTATATTGCATATATATCATGAATTAATTTTATGCCCCAAGTTTCTCAAATATTTTATTTCTTCTTTTTCTGTTAAATATTTACCTGGGAGATGGACCAAGAGAACATCAAGTCCTTCCTCATGTTGCCACTCGTAAGATGGCTCAAAATGACCTTCTACTGCTCCAGCTTCTGTTTCCATTAAGGCAATATATATATTGAGTATTTCTTCTAAATTTATATCTTAGTTAGTATGCTTCTAACGGCTTCAAGATGATACCCTCCAATTCTCTTGTATATATAGGGCAAAGACGATGGTGCAAGATACGAAGCAAAAAGACGTTGTGTTTGAGTTCTTTCGTGGGAAGGGAATGTATTCCTTTTTTGTTTCTGATGGTTTTCGTTTCGAGTTACTTTGTGGTTTCCCTAGATTCTTACTCAGAACACATGATGAGTTCCAAAGCTATGAGAAATTTGGTTACTGACTTCTATTTATATTGACGTACATTGCACATAATTAAAAGTACGTGTCATATATATTGTACAACAATAGTTAAGTGATAAACCTACATATATGATATTACTTTGATGCATCTACATACTACATTGTGTGGGTTAACGTTTCTAGTTTGTCATTTGTATTAAATCATTTTATTAGCACCTAGGACTCATTTGGTACGAGAGATAAAGAGATAATTAATTCCAGGATTAAATTTGAGATAAGTTTATCCTATATATGTTTGGTTGGGAAACAAGTTATTCCACGATTAATTATCTCAGGTTTAATAGTTATCCTGGATTGTTATCCCACCCTCCCATAGAGATAAAAATAATATTATAATCCCGGGATAACTAATTCCTAGATTAGTTATACCGCGATTTTATCTCAACCAAACGTGAGATAAAACCCATCACAAATTTATTTCTGAGATAAATTATCCATTATCGTACCAAACGAGTGTGTAACCTCAAAATCAGATAACAATTGAATTTGTAAGTGGTTTAAGGATACGTGGACTAACTTGACACAAAACGATAAATTAGATTGCAATTGAAATAAATAATGTAAAATAAATGCAAACCACACGAATTGAACAGTCTTAGCCTTGGAAAGTTAATCATCCTCGAGCCAGGTACGCTTCGATCGGTGTCAAGACATAGAAGAACAAGATGAAGGTACAAGAAGGGGGGTGAATTGTGGTCTATTAAAAAATAGTCGACTAACGATGATTTTAGTTGACTAGATTAAGAGCAGAATGTAAGATAAACAGTACATGTAACGTGAATAACACACAACGATTTTATACTGGTTCGGTACCGATGTGGTACTTACATCCAGTTTCCCTTGGGTCACAAGAGTTCCCTTTAGATCTTGAAAGTATTACAATACAGATGATTTTGATTCGTTCACCACCAACGAAGTATAGCAACAATGAATTCTGAATAATGACACAACTCTCTTTTGTGTTCTAATTCTTCCTATCTTTTGAGACACTGATAAACTGAGGATTACAATGTTTAGGCTAAGAAGTAGAGAGACTTAGAAAATAATGTGTGTAGTTGCGCAAGTCTTCCATTTGATCTTAGCAGACTTCTTATAGGAGAGAAGAGAGTCGTTGAGCCTTGATCGAAAATAGAGGCACGAGATCTAGAAAGGGATTTGACCCAGGGGGTGCCTCTTCGAATCCTGCTCTTGGGAGGGACCGGATTCGATTGTGACTTTCCTTGTCACAAGCTTACATTGAGGAGACATTCAAGCCTACAATTGAGCTTAATTAAGGATACTGAATATTTGGTGGCAATAGCTCCTTGATTTGTAACCTGATTTCCTTTGATTGAGGCCGAATGGATGTGCTAAAATTTGATTCCTTCTTCTTGTCCATTAATTCAGCAATCACATCTTTGGACAACTTCTCATTAGTATTCTTTCCTTTTGATGATTTCAATTCCTGCAAACCAAGGTAAGTGAACATTGTCATCATTGAAACTTTGGAATATAACTTAACAATCTCCCCCTTTTTGATG